AAATTAGGGCGGAATCTAGCCTTGGGAGTGATTAAGGGGATATAAATCAGGTCGGTGAGAGAAGGACTGAGATTACATCAGTAGCCTTTCCTTTGTTTATAATGAAATTTTCTTCCTTATTTATCATATAAGATGTAATTTCGAGTAGAATAATCTTGCACACGGAATAAAATACCAGCTAATTAAATTATTTGCATAAATTCACCCACATTATTTCTTGCTGCACCTTTATTATTTATCAAATAATTTTCTTCCAGCTGGTTAAACATCTATATATATTCTATTATATGTTATATTTATTGACACTGTTTACATGCCGAATATTATTCACAATTTTGTTGTTATCACGACGTTTCGTCCTTTGTCTACTCCAGAGTTCATCAGGTGCATATCGATCCAGCTAACCTACAGCGAGTACCGAACTAAACCCTTTATTTAATCCAAGAGGGTAGATTGTTCTCGTTAAACTGGACATGTAGAGGGTTATCTCGTTTACAGCCATGTGCAAATTAACTGGAACAAAACGAATAATTCGGTTATCATTTACTTTTTGTTCGTATTTTCCCAATGAAACATGGCCCATTGCACATGTTAGCACTTCGTATATCCATTCCACAAAGTCGTTCCGAGCAGATTGACTACAGATTCTGGAATAGATTTAAATCAGGAAAGTTACCGGCAGAATCTATAGTGCTAATATTTGCTCACTGGTAAGGCTTGCCAGTGTGTTCGTGCAACGTTACAATTTTCGTACACTTCCTTGGAGTAACATCCATCACAGACAATGACCGTAGGACAGCTAATCGACACTCGAGTGTCTGCGCGTGAAAAAAATTTGATGCAAGCAGGGATGACGTAATATTTTTTAAGGCCGAACAAATCATACATCCCGAAAATAAAAGGGTGTTTCATTAAGAAGGATCAAAGTCAGCATTAAATAAATCAGTGTTATTAGTAGAAATTTATTTATCTGTCTATTGGATCATGTTACTTACGTCATGGCAATTATGTGTGAAAAATAATATCGCCCAAATGTTAGCCAAATCTGAAAGTAAAAGAAAAAAATCACGAGACGCTTAAACTTAATTCACATTTAAAATCGATCCAAGTTATTGGAACACCCTTTAGATTCATATTATTGCACACTAATGAGGAAAAAATAGAAATCGATTACACTGTGTAGATCTTATTTATAGTCCTGCTCAGTTATTGCTTGCTCCGTTTCCATGGTGTAGGGTTTGAACTCTCAATTACTCTGTCCCGAAATTCAAGAATCAACGATTTAATAGTTTTAAATTGAAATGATTCCACCTGAAGAACTATTCGAGACGGCACTTGTATTTTGTACAAAACGGTCGTAATTCTCAATATAACTATGAATATTAAAGAAAAACTGGCAATAATTGAAGTATTTTGTTACATAAAAGTTAGGCTTTTGATTCTACGTCGAGTCTGAGTCTTCAACCGTACCAGTCCTGGCGAGAAAAGAAGCATTGTAAAAAGATTTCGAAAGCAAGCGAGATAGAGAAAAAAACATGGAGTAGCCTACCTAAGAACTTTGTGTAAATTGATCACAGAAAAGGGAGGGCGAGATAGCAAAAATAAATATACGTACGTGCGCACGTGTCTGTGTGTGTGTGTGTGTGTGATGAGTGAAAGGTCTATTGTATGGATGCATCTACAACTGAGCGATTTAATTTAATCTTAAGGCTTGGAGAGTTTGACACTCACAAGATATATTAAATGCAAAAGGGACAAAGTGGAACAATAAGCAAACAGCTTGCGTAATTGAATGGTAAAATAGGGATTGGGAAGAAGAATATGAAAACGAATTAAGAACTACAAACGGTAGAAAGTTGTTGATGAACGCCCACGTCCTGAAGAGAAACGACAATGAAGTAGAAACATAGTAAATATTTTTTAAAAAATGTAATCTTTTCAACAAATGCCAGCTTCGTCATTGATAAATATTGATCGGATATACAGGAAAAAGACAAAAAAAAGAAAAAGAAAAAAGAATACGATTTACTAATATAATTAAAGAGATTAAGAATTCCAATAATTACGTTTGTAGGCGTGCATCTATTTTTTCATTTCATATATGTTTTAATAGGGAATGAATTCGTAGCTTTCGTTTAGACTTTTATAGTTTTTTTTTTTAAGCATGTCACCTCAAGCAAGGCGGGAGTGCCACTAACACGCAAGGGGTTACAGAGAGTGAGAGCAAAAGTAAAGAGGTGTGATAGAGGAAAGGATGAAGAGAAGGACAGGGAATAGATCAAGGCATCTGAAGATGTCGATTGACATTGCATTTTAATATTTGAAGATTATAGTTATCAGGGAAGCAAGTAAGAGGAAGGGATATACACAGGCGAGACATGAAGCTAATGGAGTCGAAGAAACGGCTACATTTAACAGTTTCGACAGTGATGAAAGGGTGGTACTGAGCTGTCAAACAGGTAACACGCTTTAATTCATGCAGTTTGGGAACTAGCGTAAGTAGCTTGTTGGAGCAGCTAACATGAAACTATTTGTAGAAAAGACATAGGGAGGCGACGGCACGTCTGTGAGAAAGTGACTAGACGAAATACCAGATCAAGACCAATCACATTGCATATCCGTCTCTGGATTTTGCCGAGGACCTTGAGATGAACAGTGGGGGCTACAGGACATATATGCCAACTTGAATTTCTACAGCATATATTTCACTCCAGGGAATCATTGCTAATATGAATCTTGCGTATTACCTGTTTTATGCAAGCGACAATTTTTTCCTCATTCACTTTTTTCCGGTTAGTTTTTTGCAATTGGCCACGTTTTTGTTTACTTTTGTCTATCAATTTTCATTTCAACATTTTTTCAAAAAAAACTACGGAAGCAAAAAAAAAAAAAAAAATGGCGAAGATGCATGACGAATTTCTCTCCCATTGCTGAGTTTTGCGATTCAATTTTCTGGTTTTTCTTTTTTTTTCATGACACGAAAATAGTGAATTTCATGATCCCCAAGATGAGTACCTCGGAAAAACAGACTCATCATCCGCCATTGTTGATCACATGATCACATGACAACCTCGATTATGAATCCAGGTGAAAAGCAAGATTTTGAATGGAAATATTCAAGGGAGGGGAAAAAAAAACCAGCTGTAAAAACAGTTTCCTTGGTTGTCTGCATTGCAGTATTTGTAGTATATGTGATAACGACGGATTATGTCTATCCGAGCTTATTTATATATGTCTGTTGTTCAGATAGAATGTATATTATTAAATATAGATGATAACTATTTATACTATTTGTTAACACTTCAACCTATAGTTATTTAACGCTTTTATGTACCTCCAAAACATACTGAATCTGTCGTCAGAAGGTATCTTACTACTCAACGATCTATTAATGATTTTATTCCACCAAGTAATTACTTTTAAACATCTGATTGCTAATTGTTAGTCAAGTTTGGAATATAATCATCTCAAGATGGATTTAGTCACAAATATCTTCATATTGAAGAGCATGGAGACTGCAAAATGAGAATTGAATAACCGAGGAGAATGAAAGAAAGGAAGACATTAGGAAAGAAAAAAAAAGAAAGAAAGAAACATTCAAAGAGGAGAACAAAGTGAGAAAAAAAGAAAAAAACAGACAAATCTGGAAAGAAAGAAACAAGCAAAGAAAGAAAGAAAGAAAGAAAGAAAGAAAGACAGGGTATGTGCGTATATATATATATATATATATATATATATATATATATATATATATATATATATATATATATATTTAATAATAATGAACACAACCCTCATAGCCTATGGGCATTGTAGGGCCGTCACATGTATAGATGGTCACTCGTATTCAAGGATACAGGTCTACTAGGGCGGCTAACTAATCCCTATTGCAGACGCTGGCTCAGGAGCATTTATGTTTATTCAACACCTACAGAGCTAAACTGTGGTTTATATTGCAACTATGCTGAGCAGACCTTAGTTACAGTTTCTGGGAAAGAGCGCGTTATTTGGCATGATCAAAAATTTGAACAAGGCCAGCACGATCAAAGCCTCAGCCAGGGTGGCTGGTGACTTCATGCTAGCACAGCTATCGAAGATCCTAAGGGTTCCATCTACCCAATTTCACTCACAAAGCTTGGGTCAGCCCGTGGTATTGTTTTCAAGCATTTTCAAAAATACAATCAAAGCCATGCTTATATATTACAAAATGGTTTTGCGTAGTAAGAATTACATACGTCCTGATGAATTCTGGCTGAGATATAAAGAGAGATTGTAAATAAGAATTCCTCAATATTTTTGTTACTAGAAATAATCATTGCCAAATTTCATTCATTTCCCGAAACCTTCCTCAGTGTTTTCACTAGAGCACATTGTTAGATACAGACACAGAGCACCCAAATACATATACGCCGAAACATTGTCGTCTCAACAATAACAATGGACATGAGTATACTAGTTTAACTAATACACAAAACGAGCATAGTATTTTATCAGAATTTAAGACATCAGTGCCTATTTTAAAATAAACCCCCGTATATATATATATATATATATATATATATATATATATATATATATATATATACATCAAGTTTGACCTCACGTTACCCTTGCTGTATCAGCAATTTCTTTGTTTCGTATCTAAAGTGGTGACGTGTTGTTTGGAGACTGATCACTCGAGTCACATTCACCTTGACACGAGTTTCAAGTGCTTCTCACGGTTTCAAGTGTATTCTGTGGTCACTTCAATCGTCTAAGATGGGCAACGCAGATTGCAGACTGGGCGTTTACGTAGTTACAATGCAGTAAATACAAAGGAAGATTTAACGACAGACGAAAATAGACAGACGCACGCGCGACGACGCATGCATGAGCTCGCAAGTGTCGTAGATAACATGTACAAAAGAGATGTTCATTATAATAGATGCCTGTGATTTTTTTATCTGTCTCAGCACTTAGGAATCAACTTTGCAAGACTTTCTTACTCTATATTGATTAATATGTCCAGATTTAATTTAGATAAAATCTATCTATCTATTACATTCTATTCATTATCTATCTATCTATCTATCTATGACTATCTATTACATTCTGTTCATTATTTATCTATCTATGACTATCTATCTATTATATTCTGTTCATTATCTATCTATCTATTTATGTATCTATCTATCTATCTATCTATCTATCTATTTCATTCTGTTCATTATCTATCTATCTATCTATTTATCTATCTATCTATCTATCTATTTCATTCTGTTCATTATCTATCTATCTATCTATCTATCTATCTATTATATTCTGTTCATTATCTATCTATCTATCTATCTATCTATTACATTCTGTTCATTATCTATCTATCTATCTATCTATCTATGACTATCTATCTATTTCATTCTGTTCATTATCTATCTATCTATCTATCTATCTATGACTATCTATCTATTATATTCTGTTCATTATCTATCTATCTATCTATCTATCTATCTATCTATTACATTCTGTTCATTATCTATCTATCTATGACTATCTATCTATTATATTCTGTTCATTATCTATTTGTTCATTATCTATCTATCTATCTATCTATCTATCTATCTATCTATCTATCTATCTATCTATCTATTACATTCTGTTCATTATCTATCTATCTATCTATCTATGACTATCTATCTATTACATTCTGTTCATTATCTATCTATCTATCTATCTATCTATGACTATCTATCTATTATATTCTGTTCATTATCTATCTATCTATCTATCTATCTATCTATCTATCTATCTATTTCATTCTGTTCATTATCTATCTATCTATCTATGACTATCTATCTATTATATTCTGTTCATTATCTATCTATCTATCTATCTATCTATCTATCTATCTATCTATTACATATCTGTTCATTATTACATTCTATCTATTATGACTATCTATCTATTACATTCTGTTCATTATCTATCTATCTATCTATCTATCTATCTATCTATCTATCTATCTATCTATCTATCTATCTATTATATTCTGTTCATTATCTATCTATCTATCTATCTATTATATTCTGTTCATTATCTATCTATCTATCTATTATATTCTGTTCATTATCTATCTATCTATCTATCTATCTATGACTATCTATTATATTCTGTTCATTATCTATCTATCTATCTGTATAAGTTTGTTCATCTCTCTCTCTTTCTCACACACACAACGTCACCCTCTCTTTATCTAAAGGAAAGTCAAATCAGACCAAAAATGAAGTATTGCTGTCATATAGCTGTCCATTCATCTCTTTTCAGTCTTAACGGAGTTCAAAAGCATTTACGAAAACTTGTGGTTGATGAATTATTTTCAAACTTAGAGTTACTTTCACACAGCCCAAACGTCGCCATCCTCTCGTTAATCTATCGCTATACCATTGGCAAATGTTTTCATGATCTATATTCATTAGTTTCCCCAGTTCAGACCTTCACAGCTAAGAACTCTCTATATATTGCAGTCTGTTTCTATCTATCTAAATATTATACATTATCTATCTATCTATCTATCTATCTAAGTTTCATCAGAGAAAATGCCAGGAAAATATCTATAAAAAATACAAAGGGAAGCCAATTAATTCTTCCCGTTATACAATAACCTCATTCAGTAACTCCCTACCTTAAGAGTATCTATCTAGCATCAGAGAAATTGCCATGAAAAATATCTTTAGAAGAGACAGAGGGAAGCCACATCACGGCAGAAGGAACGTGACTATAGTCGAGATGCCAAGGCAGATAATATTACAGACCTTGCTTTAAACTTTGAATGCCTCCTCTAGCACTATGATAATAATCTATTCAAGGTTATGATCAAACGCTATATATCCTACATATCCTCATAAACTGCGCTTCATTCTTTTACGGTCATACAGCAACTTCAATTAGTGACCTTCTACCTTAAGTGTCTCGTTTACTTTCTCTTTATTTTATCTAGCTAAGTCTGTCCCTCTTTCTTTCTTTCTTTCTTTCTTTCTTTCTTTCTTTCTTTCTTTCTGATAATAATGTATTCAAGGTTATGGTCAAACGTTATATAACCTACATATCCTTATGATCTGGACTTCTCTCTCTCTCTCTCTCTCTCTCTCTCCTGTCAAACCTTTTATAGATTGAGTTGGATCTTTTCTAATTGATCACTTTAGCTCTACGTTGAAATGATGATTAAAAATAATCCAGGTTACGTGACACGAGACATTGAAGTGATACTCCACATATCTCATATTGTAACGTATTTGAAATCTGTGATTCTGTGTTAAGAGACGACAAAAACAATTTTTAAAAATAACTATCACAACAGATGAAAATGTATTGTTTGCAAGAAAGTGGAGCAAAAGATTTGCTGGAGAAAAAGAAATGAGCCATCGTCAACAACTCCAAATGCTGGTTTGCATCCGACGAAGCTGATATTGTGTGTCTGGTGAGAGTGGAAATGTGTAGTGTTACAAGTGTTATCTGCGTATCTTATATTGTTAAAATTAAACCCACCTATAATAAATCCTGGTAGGATCTCTAAAAAAGGAAAAGGTTCCGCTCTAGAGGTTGAATAAATCTATAGAAAAGACACATCATTGTCTTGAGCATGTTTCGATTTTTGTGTAGCTAATGAATTTATTTTCTATCCGCATATAGTATAAGTTCAGGATTATTCTAATATAGATCTAGTTTTCCTTGCTACTCAAACAGTTCCTTGCGCTGTACTTTGTCAGATGCTTTTCTGTAATGTATAAAGCATAAGTATACGCTCTTGTTAATTTGTTTTGCTCTCTCTAGTATAATTCTGATAATGAATATCGCATTTCTTGGCTCAGAGTCCTTGACAAAGCCAAACAGCTCTTGTTCCATTTCCGGACAGATTCCGGTTCTGCTTTGCGCTCTATTCATCAGGATTTGCACCATTAGTTTTATTATATAGCTTATTAAACTGACTATTCGATTGAGCTCGTATTAATTTGTACCTATTTTTTTATAAGCATTTCACCCCAAGCAAGGCTGGAAGCCACTAGCACGCAAGGGGTTACATAGGATTTGGAGCGAGAGCAGATAGGAGTGACAGGATGAGGAGAAGGATAGTGGATAGATCAAGGCAACTGGAGATGTCTATTGACATTACATTTGAATAGTTGGAGATTATAGCTATCAGAGAAACAGGAAAAGGGAAGGGAGTTCCACAGGCGAGAGGTGCGAGATATGAAGCTACTGGAGTAGAAGAGACGCCTACATTTAACAGTTTCGACAGTGAAAGGGTGAGAGCCAGATGCCAGCCTCGTAGGGCGCTTGAATTCATGAAACCTGGGAACCAGCGAAAGCAGCTCATCGGAGCAATTACCATGAAAGTATTTGTAAAAAGACAGAGAGAGGCGACGGCACGTCTGTGAGAGAGAGACTGCAGACTAGATGCCAGATCAGGGTCAATTACATTGCATATCCGTCTTTGGATTTTATCAAGAACCCCGAGACAAACAGAAATGGCTCCAGACCATATATGGCAGCAATACTCCATGCAAGGGCGAATGGTTGATTTGTAGATTTGAAAGATCGATTCCGGGGAGAAAAATTTCCTGGCGCGTCACAGGGAGTCAAATTTCGTTGCGGTGGACGAAGCAATTGACTCAATGTATTTGTTCCATCTCAGGTCAGTAGACAACGTGAAACCGAGCAGCCGCAGAGATTTGATCTCGAGAAGTTGAGCGTCAGATATTCTAATGGAGGGCAGGGAAGGATCTGTGTGGTGATTAATAGAGAGCAGTTTTGTTTTTGAGGCGTTAAAGTTAACCAGCCAATTCCTGCCCCAGTTCACAACTGATTGGAGGTCCTTTTCGAGACGAACGGCCAGGTTAGTTTTGTCAGCGACACTAGATTTATTTTTGAGGCAGGAGTAAATTGTAGTGTCGTCCGCATAGATTGGGAATCTATGGGTAATTTGAAAAAAAAAAACATAGATTTAGATGTACTTAGGTATGTGACCACTGTTGTATATTTCATTTATTAATTCTGTGAGATTGTTAATGTCGAAATCGTCTATGGCTGAGAACATGTCTGTTACGATGGCATCAGACCCAGCTATTGTCTTCCTGTTCGCCGTTCCCAGTGTTGATCTTAGTTCAGATTTTAATATGTCTGGCCCTTCTGTATTTTCAAGGGCTGTAGGTTTCTCTCTCGCAGAGTGAAAAAGAGCTTTTTTTTTCTTTTTCTACTACTTTTTCTTCATTTTGATTTTATAAAACCCGGTGTTTGCCTCATCTTTCGTATCATTTTATTAATTGGAAGAAATTAGTTTTAACAATTGCTCCATATAACAATTCCTCGTTTTCGATCAGTAATAGAGGGAGTCAATTCAAAAACGTTTTGCATATTATATGGCAATATAAAAGCTTGGTCTGAACATGGGACAGACATTATATATATATATATATATATATATATATATATATATATGTCAAAGTGTAGGAGAACGAACAGTAGGATTACAGCGTTCAAAACATTAATTTAAAAATAGTGCTCAATAAATAAAGCAGAGCCATAAATATTTTTTTATCTTATGCAGTGTTACATTAGAACATACACATATCCACTACAAAATTGTACATTTTTGTTTCAACATCAAAAAACTTCGGTAACTGTATTTCTGAATAAATTTGTTTCGTAACACTGTGATTCCCCACCTGATGAGATGTCTAAAAAAAGGTTTTCTTCTTTTTTGACGTTGAAAAAAAAAGTACAATTTTGTAGTGGATATGTGCATGTTCTAATGTAACACTGCATAAGATATATATATTTAAATCAATTAATTTATAATATTAATCCTCTGTAAATTTACATTGAGCACTATTTTGTAAAAATAAAAATATCTATAAGAACACTGGATTATATATCTTACTGTTCTTTCTTTATATATATATATATATATATATATATATATATATGTATGTATATGAAGATGAGAACGCTGACTGGAACACTCAATCAGAGGCAACGCAAGAACTTAAATGCCTTCACTCCGTTGTCGAATGAAGACTTTTAAATTCTTCCGTAGTTTTCCGCTCAAATTTCTTATCTTTTTATTTGAACTGGTGGAATTAAGGCGCTCATCTGAACATTTGTCTTGTAAATATCGACAGAATAGCGATTGTTTTGCGACGCTGCGACTGTGGGGAAAGAGGATGTAAGGTGGAAGATAATTTAGATCCCCCCCAACACCACTGCAAGACTATATAAACTCCATTTTTGATCTAAACTGAAATCTATGAGAAAGAGATAATGACAGAATGGAGTGATAGAATAAAATCATTATTTTCTTCAGAACCAAGAAACATAAAGTCTCTTTTCTAGGCATAAGAATACATAATTATTTATTATTGAACAGAACATTTTTTGTCTGAAATTGTGTCTATTTTTCCATGCAATGATATTAGATTTAAAAAAAAATATTTCATCCCAAGCAAGGTAGTAAAGCCACTAAGACGCAATGGGTTACTGAGTGTTAGAGAGTATGAGAAAAATACTATTAATGAGAGAGAACAGTAAAAGAATAAGAAGACAGAAGATAACGATTGACATTGCATTTACGTTTTGGAAGAGAAAAGTTGCCTGGGAAAGAAGAAACGAGAAGAGAGATTCGCAAGCGAGAATCCGATAGAAGAAACTGTTAGCATAGAACTTACGGTTACATCTGTAAAATGGTGAGACCTTGCCGCTAATCTAGTACTGCGCTTAAATTCCTGAATCTTGGTGTCATAGAGAAAAGATCGTCAGAACAATTATGAAAGTATTTACAGAAAAGGCATAGGTAAGCTTAATTACGGCAGTGAGAAAGTGACTGGAGCCGAGAAGCCAGGTCAGGAAAAATAACATTGCAGATTCTTCTTTGTATTTCATCAAGAATGTCTAGATGTATTGTACGAACATCAGACCGTATGTGGCAGAAATATTCATGGTCGAATAGACTTATAAATATGTAAGATTAGGGAGAGAAAAATTATCTCACACGACAAAGGGAAACAAATTTCCAAGCAGAAATTTATTCAATGTAATCTTTGCACTTCATGTCAGTGAAAATATTTTAAAGTGGACACTGAGTTCAATGCCGAGTGGTGACAGTCTGTTTTATGCTTGACGCAGTCTCCACGCCATCTGAATGATCTATCTATCTATCTATCTATCTATCTATCTATCTATCTATCTATCTATATAATACGGAGAAAATCCGTTGGTGTATAATAAGTGGATCCTAGTAATATAAAATATTAAAACTGACCCACGAAAAGAACTCATAATATATTTATTATAACAGACAGTATAAATTACACGACAAAATACAAAATCAGATAAATAGATAGATAGATAGAGAGAGAGAGAGAGAGAAAGAAAGAGAGAGAGAAAGTAAGAAAAAAGAAAGATGAATGTGAATTAGATGAAGGAAAGAAGGAATATCGTAAAGTAAAGATGCAGGAATGCCAATTCTGAATTCATTTATAGTGATTCTGGTTTCTTATTGCTCTTTATACCCATTTTTGGTTCAGAAGCTCGCAACTGAAAGATATTGATTGCTACAACAAAAACAGCAACTATAATAATAATAATAATAATAATAATAATAATAATAATAATAATAATGTCTAAACCTCCTGTTTCCGTGTTTGCAAGTAATTAAATCGTCAATGAAAGGAAACACTCCTTGGACAAACGGCATAAGTTTGTCCAAGAAAACCTCAATATGAGGACGCCATCAAATCGACATCTGATTTTAAACATAGAAAACTTGTCCGCATTTTAATTTTTCTTTTTTCGTTCTTCCATTTCTTTTTATTTTCTTTAGTCTAAATTGGATACCTTCATTCTTTGTATTCGACTTTCTTTTCACTGTTGCCGACATATTTTTATTGCGATTTCTTTCGCAATTTTTTTCATTCAGTCATCCACTATTTTTGAACCAATCTCCAGTTTTTTTTTGCTTTTCCTTCTTTATCATTTCTTCTTTCTTTTTCAAGCTTTCCTCATTTTATTCTTCTTTTCTTCCTTTTTCCATCCTTCCTTCAAATTCTTTTCCGTTCGTCTTCCTTTTAGTATTTTTAAAAATATTATTATCTATTGTATTTAGTTTTTCTTTCTTCCACAAATATCTCATTAAAAGCATTCATATTTTCATTTACACTTTTCTTTCCCTTTTTTATCCTTCATCTCGTCTCTCTGGTCCAAGTTTTCTTCTTCATTAGCATTTAATTTATAATAATTCAATGATACGTTCAATTCCCAATCAAGACATTCTTTCTCGTATTTTCTCGCTTTTTCTCGCCCTTCACATTTATCTCTCTCTCTCTCATTCTCTCTCTCTCTCTCTCTCTCTTTGTCATTTCTATTTCTTTTTAAGAATTTTCCTTTTTTTTTTTCACTGATTCCGTTTGTTTTTCTTCTTCATTTCCATTTTCTCTTTTCTTTATCTTCAGTGGAGACATGATTGAGTTAGTCGTTTAATCTTTTAATCTTTCCGTATTTCTTCTTCTTTTGGCTTTAGAGTTCTTCTTGCCCTCTTCCCACTTCTTCTTTCCTTCATCCTCTTCTTCTCCTCCTCCTCTTTCTGCTTGTCTTCCTTCTCTTCTTCTCCTCCTCCTCCTCCTCCTCCACATTTTCTTCTTCTTCTCTTCCTTCTTCTCTTCCACCACCACCTTCTTTTTCTTCTTCATCTTGTCTTCCTCCTTCTCCTCCATCTTCTTCTTCTTCTTCTTGATTTATTTCTTCTTCTCCTCCTCCTTCTTGTCTTCCTTCTTCTTCTTCTTGTCCTCCTCCTTCTTCTCATCCTTCTATTCTGCCTTCTTCTTCTTCATGTCTTCCTTCTTCTTCTTCTTCTTCTTTCTTCTTCTTCTTTCTTCTTCTTCTTCTTCTTTCTTCTTCTTTCTTCGTCTTCTTCTTCTTTCTTCTTCTTCTTCATGTCTTTCTTCTTCTTCTTCTTCTTCTTCTTCTTCTTCTTCTTCTTCTTCTATATCCTTGCAATCATTAAGTATTTTCTATCAGCAAAATTAAATGAAGTTGTTTATTTAAGAGGAGACATGTTACCCAATTAATCCATTTACAGCTCTGCTTGACTTGCCACAAATAACAAGCTTACTTGTGTACATACATATATATATCTAATTTGATATACTATTACGTTTATCCATCAACACACAGACACACATACACACACGTATATTTATATATATATATATATATATATATATATATATATATATATATATATATATATATATATATATACCAAAGAGCTAATTCAGAGAGACTTACATGAATATATCCACACATAAATACTCACGAGCACACAAAAAACATTTATACACACACACACAACCCCCGACGCACACCGCATACACAGATGTGTATATATCGCTATATTTAAATAAAAGTCAGAAGTAAGATAACAGAACGACACATAAGAAAACACAACTTGTCATCGCCATTTTTGGTAATATGACTTTTTTTGTTGATTCTCTAAGACTGTAGATATTTGGCGTGTATATCTCAACAAATGTATACGTACATATGCTAGGTAGGTAGGTAAACGTGTATGGCGTGGGTCTTTGTACCGCAGTTACCACCATAAATGACAATGATCGTATTATTTGTGCTTGGTAAAAAGAGACAACGTGGAAAACCGCCCCACTCTTCACGATTAAAGTGGCTTTCGACCTAACACAAAACGGAGGCGCCAAATATATGTACACACATATATAAGGATGAGTGGCATTGGTGAGACCAGAGTGGTGTACATCATTAGAAAGCAGAGGAGTCATTATTTCTTTCAAAATCTGTTCACCAGGTGGAAAGAATTTCCGTTTGTCACTCTCTCAATTGGTCAGACCCGTCGGCCCTCTAATTCCACTTGATCGTCTTAGAATTGTACATTCATACACGTCAAGAGTCATAATGTTCTTGAAGGCGCTTATCGCAATATGTCTCATAAGTGTTTTGGCGGGATTGGCCACCAGTGAATTTACCTGCCCTCCGAAAGGGACCATGTGGATAAGGGACACACGAAACTGCAGTCTCAACCATTGGTGTATCCAGGGCAACTATTCAGGGTCTTTTTATTGCGGTCCCGGATATGTAGCCGGGGGTAGCATGGCTTTGTGCCAGGTTGCACCTTCTGAGTACGACTGGAACAACTGTAAGGACCTCATGAAAATAAGTGAGTACGTTTTTGTTTTAAGCATTTTTGAAAGTGAATATTGCATTAAGAGTTTTTTTTTTTGTGATAGCAATTTCTCTGGATAAAAGTTATACTATTTAACCCATAGTTAGGGGGTGAGAAGTGTTTATCGCCGAGCAGCAAAATTAGAGCCAAATTGAAAGATGGTTATTACGTGAAGAGCTAAAAATAAATTTTGAATAGCCGAGTATTCGGCTGTAATTCATTTTGACCAAATAACCCTACTTTTGTTATAATTTATCTGACGATCTTTAACACTTTAAACAAAAGCAAATTTTATGAATTCAAATTAAGAGGTATATTTTTCTGTCGCTTCTTTTATAAATAGCATTTTAGGACGTAGGCGATCACAGCTCTCCACAACTCTCTACCTTTTATAATTCCAAGTAACTCTTGCTCCATATACTAGCCCTATACTTTTTTGTTACTCATTCACTCAAACACTTTAACTTTCTCGATGCTTACTACTGCTTTGTCTTGATTACATATGCCCTGTGAGTGTTAAATTCTCTATTCCCTCTTTCCTTATTATGTGTACCAGAAATTTCTGCTGACTGTCGATATCCGGTTATTTGTAGTTCTTATTTCCCTTAAAGTTTCCTCACATGTTCTTAGAATTTATCGGTAGAATTACATCTCTGCCGCTTTAAGCTTCGTCATCATTCGCGAGGAGACTGTCCAGCCTTTACAGCCATAGAGAAGATTGCATATTAAATAGCAGTTAAAAACTTTTTTGTTTCTATGGACATTTTACTATCTCTTTATATTTTGCTTAGTTTCATTGTCATATTTCTAATTACTAAACTGCCTAGATAGTTACATTTCTGTCTGATGGCTTTTGTCACTCGAAATGCGTAGCTCACATCCAGTGTTGCGTCTTTTGCTGAAAACGAGGTATTCTGTGTTACAGTTAGCGATTTGTAAAATCCATCATATCCATGGGAATTAAAGACAATTTATGGCTTAAAAAGTTCTGTCAATCTTTTATAAAATAAGAAGCAAGAATAGAATGAGTGATAGCTCTTTTCATCGACGCAATTCAAATCTAGTAATGGAATAAGCGTGAACTCCGACAAATGACTTTGAAATTAACGTGTCATAAAATAACTCTATATATCATTGCACCAAAAACAATTGTTTAGCAAGCTTAGCTCAGTCTAGCCCAAGCCAACTATATGTGTTTCCTATTTAAAATCGAACTCATGACAAAGTTATTGAGTATAGCAGAGGAAGTGGGGAGATCATGGGTCCCAATCAAGGCAATGGGCCTCATTGAGAGACCATTCATACATTATAATGAATGAAAGTTCAGGGTCTTGTGAAGAGTATTCACTACCTGTATCCTGAAGGGACATGGCAGGAAAATCATAAAGATAAAATGAAGGTTTAAGGTAACCTAATAGTTCAGGGGGAGGCATGCTGGAGTAATGGATAAAGGTTCGGATTGAGGAATCGGAGAGCCGAGTTCGAATTCCAGTCGAATCCATTACATTCATTTACATGTTAATACTTTTGCGAAAGTTATGAATCCTCTTCTTCTCCTCCAGCAAATAGCAGGATAGATCGGGTTTGATAGCTTTGGATGGCAAATGGTCTGCCGCAGAAAAAATAGCAACCTATTGCAGGAAAAAAATCTGCCTCGTTAAAATATACATGATTGCCTAAGCGTGTGTCACGCATGGTACATAACTAACTGAATAGTTCCGAAGTAATAATTTCGTGCTTAAATCTAGAGTACATGCATTTATTGCTGGATTTTCTTTGTCATCCTAAGCATGGCATGAACAACGAATATGAAATATTCTTTTCTTTTTTTTTTCAAAATTATATTACCTCATGCAAGGCAGTAAAGCCACTAAGACACAAAGGGTTACAGAGTGAAGTAAAAACAAAACAAAGCAAAAAAAAAAAAAAATTAGCGAGTGAGAAGAATGGCAGCGTATTCAAGGAACTTGATAACGATTGACATTGCATTTAAAATTTTGAAAATAAAAATTAGCTGGAAAGAATGGAGCCGGAAAAGAGTTCCTCAAACGAGAAGTGTGATAGATGAAATTGTTAGCATAGAACTTACGGTTACATGTAGCCAATTCAACTGTAAATTGATGTGACCTAGTCACTAATGTAATACTTTGCTTAAATTCATAAAGTCTATGTACCATAGCAAAGGGTTCATTTGAACAATTGCCATGAATGTATTTATAGAAAAGGCACAGGAAAGCAACTTTACGGCAATGAGAAAGTGAATAAAGCCGAGATGCCAGGCTAGAACCAATGATATTGCTGATTATTCTTTTGATTTAAATAAAAATCTCTAAATATGCATCAGGTACCCGGGGCCATCTATGAATATTTATCATATGACTTGTGTTGATTTTACAAGCACACAATTATATTCATTCGTCACGCTTATTACCATTCGTATGTGCTAGTATTGTAAGTTCATATCGGTCACCGTAAACTGCATGAGTAAAAGACGGATTCACACAAAAGTCAAGTTAATGGAAGAAAATATTTTCAGTTTGACATCATTCTCGTTTTCGCGGGTTTGTTGAAAATTTCCAACAAAATCTTCAGATCATATCGAAACTAACCTAACATTAGAGCGTCCTAACGATTTCAAAACCTTTTAGAGATTTTGTAAAATGAATTGTAAAACAATTATTGTTGTGTAATATTATTCATATATATATATATATATATATATATATAAAAAGAGAGATGATTGAGATGATTATTATTTATTATATTTAATGTTTTATATATATATATATATATATATATATATATATATATATATATATATATATATATGAAGAAATATAGTTTTAAGGTGTGATATATTTATGGGCTAAGTGCTCAATATCAGAGATAGAGCGTATGTAAATTTAAATATAAAAGTAAACATTGAAGTCAACACTCAGAGGCGACAGGCTGTTTCATGCTGGTGCAATCGTATATATATATATATATATATATATATATATATGAATTGCTGTATTAATAAAGTTATTTTCCAATCAAAGCAAGGTCGAGAAAAATGTTGAGCCAGCCATTAAATGATATTCATACCTGCAGATCAATAACTTTTTCTTGTGTTTGATTTTAAATGGGGGACCCACACATCTGGCCTGGGAGATAATGAGCTAAGCTTACTAAACAACTATTGTTAATTCAATGATATATCGAGTTATTTTTTAACACGTTACTTTCATCTTCATTTGTCAGAGTTGGCGCTCATTACATAACTAGATTTGAATTGCGTCGATGAAAAGATCTATGTGGTAATTCCGCCCAGTCCTGAACAAGTTGCTACTAAATCAAATACAATCTCATTCTATCTCCACACACACAGATATATATATATATATATATATATATATATATATATATATATATATATATATATATATATATATATTTTTACAATTGAAATTAAGATACTTTTAGTAAATGACGACTTTCACCAACGCATGTTAACATAAACATTTTAAAAATCTTGCGAATTTTAAAGTTAAAATTCTTAGGTAAAAATGGTCATTAACTAAAGCTATCTTAATTCCAATTGTAAAAAAAAAGCTCTGCTTAATGAAAATAAACATTGAGGGCACTAAACTAATTGAGTTTTTTTTCCTCAGGTTTTCTGATAAGACATTTAGCTATCTTGACACCATTTTTTCGTAAGAATCACTGAAAAAAACCTTTGAGTTATTCAGCTAAAAAATAGAAATTGTTTTGTGTCAGACCCACTGTCTTCCCAACTGAGCAATGGTGAGAGGAAAAAAGATTATTCAGTAAAAGTACCAGCACTCATACT